TTGTAGCTACCTGTTAGCCTAATAGAGTGGGATTGTGCCCAAGCATGGGCCCGGGCAGGAAGTGAAATCCTATCTAAAATTAACAATCACAAATCAGGACTTGAAGGCATGGCTCAGTGGTATGAGTGCCTGCTTACCAAACACGAGGCCCTGCGTCCCAAATCCCAGTACCACAAAAGAGAAAAGCACACACATTGTGAGATCATATTCCACCCTCACTGTCTTGACCTCCCTTGGCACTGAGGAGAAATATCCTAAGAAGAGTACTGATGACACAAACCCAGGTTTACTGACAATATAATTGTGTTGTACATGTAAACATGTCAGGCAACAGGCAGTAATCATTCAACCCAGTTCTACCCAGTTCTACCCACCACAGTACTGCTACCCACAGCCCTATTACCCACAGTATTACTACCCACAGCATTGCCATGCAGGTATCTAGCACATGGTATTCGGTCCTGTGCGCACATGATCACTTCAAGTTAGCAAGTTGCCCTAGATGCCCTGCTTGTGTCTAGCTTAGTCAGAGAAAACACGAGGAGAGAAAAGGAGAGCCACTGCACAGAAGCTCCAGCCTCCTCGTGTGACGCACCGGCACATGCGCCTTGGCTGTACTGAGTGTCTGCCAGCCCTCCGCCTCCACCGAGATCCCACAGAGACCTGAGAGTCCAGCAGCTGAGCTCACGTGTGGCAGGTGCTACAGTCACCCGAGGAGAGTAATGAGTGCTGCTGCTGATAATAACAGCACGCCAGTTCTATCTCCACGTCCCACTTCTCAGCTGTGTCCACATTACAAATGCGTGGGAGTAGAGGACCGTGGGAGCTCCCAGCACCACGGTAACCGCCGTTCCTTCAGGTTGCCCGATAGCGTCCAGGAACCACACCTGCGCTCCTGGTGAAGGATTATCGTCCTAGTATTATGAATGGATACTGCATCCTCCAATCGGAGGGAAAAGATGAAGAAAGTGGGAAAATGGGTTTGCTAAAAAAGAGAAATGAATGGATTCTCAATTTGATGTGTGTAAGTACTCACGGGTAGAGGGTAAGACTTGTGTTTATGGTTCACTGGGCCTCTCGCTTTGCTCCAGTGTGAATCCAAAGACTGTACAAGTCACAGAATTCCACTGAGGTCTCTTTCTCCACAGGATACATTCGCTAGCAGTCCCCTGAGTATCCTCAGATCCAGTCCGGGGACCGTGGTGTAGGTGTTATATCAAATAACAGAATTCAGGATGAAATTTTCTTTTTTTATTTTCTTTTATTTATTTATTTTTTGGTCTGGTCGTGGGGCCTGAACTCTGGGCCTGGGCGCTGTCCCTCAGCTCTTCAGCTCAAGCCTAGCGTTCTACCACTTGAGCCACAGCGCCACTTCTGGCTTTTTTCTTTTTGCTTATGTGGTGCTGAGGAATCGAACCCAGGGCCTCAGGCATGCAAGGCAAGCACTCTACCACTGAGCCACCTTCCCAGCCCCGATGGCATTTTCTTATATGCATATAATGCACTTTGATCATATTGCATCCTTCCCTTCCCTTCCCAGTACATTTCCCCCGTTTCTTCTCCTTGGTCTCCTTCCTCTTTTCTGCTATTCTACCATTTCCATGTCATCAATTTTGCCCTTAGATTCCACTTATGAGAGTAGATATGTAATTCTGTGTGAGTCTGGTTTGTGTCCATTCACATGAGGATCTGGAAATCTTCATGTTCAAAGAAAACTTTTCAAACTCAGAGACATCAGCGGTGCCCACAGAATCGGGGACCAGAATCTCCTATGGGAGAGGCTAAGAGGAAGTCCAGACCCTGACTGGGAGAAGCAGGCGGCCTACCTCTACTCCTGGGCCTGGGCACAGTGTGTCCTGGTGCTCCTGCTGGCCTAGGCCGCTGCACCTGTGTGTCTGGGCCCCACTGGCTCCTCTCACTGTGTCTCTTACACAGTAATACAGGGCCGTGTCCTCGGTTCTCAGGCTGCTCATTTGCAGGTACAGCGTGCTTTTACTATTGTCTCTGGAGATGGTGAACCGTTCCTTTACAGAGTCTGGGTACCATGTGCTACCATCATTAGGGTGAATTGCTGCAACCCACTCCAGCCCCTTCCCTGGAGCCTGGTGGACCCAGCTCATCCAGTAACTACTGAAGGTGAATCCGGAGGCTGCTCAGGAGAGTCTCAGGGACCCCCCAGGCTGCACCAAGCCTCCCCCAGACTCCACCAGCTGCACCTCACACTGCACACCTACAAACACAGAGAATCCCGGTCAGGAATGGACACATATAACCACCATTCCTCTCACCCATGTCCAGTCTCACTCAGCATCTCTTGCTGCTCATGAATTACCTTTTAAAACAGCAACAAGGAGGACCCAGCTGAGCTCCAGCCCCATGGTGAATGGTTTGTGTTCAGTCCTGGATGGGCCAACTGGGAACGCAGGCCTGGGACTCCTCGCTCAGCTTGGAGTGGCTGGTTTTCATCAGTCCAGAGAGGCCCTATTTGCATGCCTGCATGCTATATAGCAAGTTCTGGGACAGAGGTCCCAGAGGAGGCAACTGAAGCAGAGGAAGCTGTGCTGAGGTGTTAGTGGGAAGATGGCACTTTAGAGTTGCATCCATAAACCAGACGCAGAGACCCTGCTGTGCAACCTGCTCAACAAGTGACTCCTGGTACAATTTACCAAGGGTAAAGGCTGACGCCTCTCACCACCAGGCCCAGTGCTTCCCAGTTAGCGCAGAGACAGAGCTGGGCAGGCCTACTGAGTCTTGTGGCGCCCCATGTTCTAAGGAGAACAGAGTGTTTTGTGTCATTCTACCATCTACCTAGGAATGTGTAGGGATGGTGGCGAATGCAATGCATACCCACAAGCTCAGAGAATTTCTCATGACACATTTGTAGGACTTTAGCCCTCTAAACTCATTTGCATTTCTAATTGCCCGCCTGGGGTTGAACTCAAGACCTGGGTGCTGTCCTTGAGCTTTTCTGCTCAAGGCTGGCACTCTTCCATTTCACCCACAGATCTACTTCTGACTTTTCTGTGGTTAACTGAGGTTGTTCTCAAGCTGTGATGCTCTGATCTGAGCCTCCTGAATTGCCAGGATTACAAGGAGAAACCACTGGTGTCTGGCTCCAGTTCTTTATTTTGAACCGTGTATTTCCTGACCTATTTCACTCTGACACTGGTTTGGTGTTGAAATTCATGCACAGCTGTGCAGTATCACTTTAAAACAGCAAAGAAATAGTGACACCATTGATCCCCAAGAACCAGGTCTTCTTAAACACCACAGAGTGTAATGGTAGAGAGAGAAAAACAGGTAGTTTTCCCACAGATATTGAGAATTTATTAATCCTTTATTTACTCATTATAGCAAACCTGTGTATACCTGATATTAGGGAGCAGATGCCCAGTTCCCACTGTGTGGAGACACAGAGGACATTCTGCAGTGTCCGTAACGGCCTTGTAATGAGAGATGATCTTGCTTTCTGGAGTATCAGTCTCCACATGGACAGAGTAATGGATGTCTCCTGGTGAGATGAACGATTTGTCTTATCATCCACAAAACTGTCCAGGGGAGAACCTCAGAACTTAGAAGTCTTCTTCCTAAAGCCTGTAGAGTTCACACACAGGTTCTTGTTCAGGAAGTGAAGCTTGCTCTTCTCTGATCAGGATGTAATGGAGAAATAAACAAGGACCTGTTTGAGCAGGTGGGGGTGTCCGGGATGCAGGGAGCTCAGTCAGATTGCTGTGAGATCACCTGGGCCCAGCCCCTCGTGCCCACGATGCGCGTGCACAGTGACAGTGCTCATGATGGAGCCACAGGGACCCGGCCTCCATCCCAGACGGGACATCCACAGGACTCCAGAGCCATCGTGATGGAGGAAACCCCAGGACAGACGGGGCCCAGCAAGGTCAGTCTACATGCACATGGCCTGTTGTCTGTCCAGTCCAACCCAGACTCCTCGTGTCCACTTCCACGTCCCCTGGAGGACAGCAAGAGGCCCTTGTCAGGGGAGACTGAGGAGTCCACCACGTTCCCAGGGTGCCGTGGGCAGAGATCCAGGGGTATGGCCGACCCCTGTGTTTTATGACTTGGATCCCCAAGTACGTTTGGTGGTTGGACAAAGAGAAAAGGAGTCTGTGAATCACTGAGTCAGAAAGTGAATGAATGGAGCAATTCTGTTAGGTCACTTCTGAACCCCTGAACAGTGCTACAGGTGGAGGGAGGAGGGCAGCATTTGAGGCCTGTTAAGAGTCCTGGGTCAATGGACTGTGGGTACTTTGTCTGTCTGTCTTTGTCTGTCTCTGTCTCTCTCTCTCTGTACTGTTTTGAACTCAGGGCTACTATTTTAGGAACATACCTGCATTTCAACCCTTTCTACAGCTATTTAATGTTATTTATTTTCTGGTACTGTGCTGTGTTTTTGCCTGGGGCAGGTTGCAGACAGTGATTCCACACTTGCCTCCTGTGTAGCAGGAATCACAGGAAACAGCTGCCACATACAGCTTATCGATTGAGATGTATTGTTATTAAAGTTTAGCCCATTTGGCCTCCACAAAACTCATTTTTCTCTCCTCCTCTCAAGTCTCTAGGATTACAGACACCAGTCACCATGCCAGGCATTTTCCCTCTAGTTCACAGAACAAATTCCAACTCTGTGAATCCTGGGATCTTTGTCCTGAGTCTCATGGGGTCACCAGGGTCCCTGAGTTTCTTCAGGATCAAATACTGGTCACCACTGCAGAGCCATTTTTGCTTCCAGCATGATACTCTGTTCATTCTTAAAGTCCCAGCAAAGGACTGGAGCCATCACAGAGGAGTGCGGGTCATGAACTCAGGAGAGATGCTGTCACACTGTGGGCACAGAGGCAGGGCAGTCAGCAGGAGAGCAGCCCTGGGCTCTGTGTGCAGCTGCTCCTGAGCTGACCTGGCTCCAAGATGTGCTGAGCGCCCCCTGCTGGTGCTGAGCGCCCTGCAGGGAGGTTTGTGTCTGGCCCACACTGGATTTCCTGCACTGTGTCTCTAGTACAGTAATAGATGGCCGTGTCCTCCACTCTCAGGCTGTTCATCTGCAGGTGAAGTGTGTTCTTGCTGTTGTCTCTGGAGATGGTGAACCGGCCCTTCACAGAGTCTGGGTACCATGTGCTACCACCATCTGTATTAATTCGTGCAACCCACTCCAGCCCTTTCCCTGGAGCCTGGCGGACCCAGTGCATGTAGTAACTACTGAAGGTGAATCCCGAGGCTGCACAGGAGAGTCTCAGGGATCCCCCAGGCTGCACCAAGCCTCCCCCAGACTCCACCAGCTGCACCTCACACTGCACACCTGCAAACACAGAGAATCCTGGTCAGCAATGGTCACACACATCCACTGTTCCTCCCACTCATGTGCATTTGCACACTCAGTATCCCTTGCTCCCCATGAATCACCTTTCAACAGAGCAACAAGGAGAACCCAGCGCAGCCCCAGCTCCATGGTGCTGGTCTGTGCTCAGTCACTGGTGGAATCAGCTCACAGAGCTCAGGTCAGGGATGGGCTGGTTTTCATGGGCAGAGGGATGTCCTATTTGCATGTCCTCTGCTATAAAGCAACTCTGGGGCAGAAGTCTCAGGAGGACAGTGCACAGAGGAGATGCAGTGGAAGACAGAGTTTGTTAGATGAGTAGATAAACTGAAATGTCTGTAACCAATTGGCTTCAAGAAACCCACTGATGGAATATGAACTTCTTTATAGAAGTTTAACTCTGTTTCCCTTAGTCAAGATTGCTGAGTCATTTGCTTTTTAAAAACATTTTCCCTCTTCCTTTTGTATTGTTTATTGTTTGTATTTGGGAGGGTAAGGGGGTCACATAAAATCTGGAACAGGAATGAACAAATATCACAGAGATACTCACCAGACACTGTGGAAAATGAACTGGAAATCTTATGGATGGGGACAGGAGGGAAGGATTGGGAGAGAGCAACAGAAGGGAAGAATGGTTCATAAAGAACTGCACTGATGGTACCTGATTCACGTAACTGTAACCCCTCTGTACATCAACAACACAACATTTTTTAATTAAATAGAAAATAAAGGTGCCGTTCAGTGAGGCAGTTTATGAACACACTGAGGCTTGATCAACGTTTCCCCTTTCAACATTCCTGCCCACCCCTCCACCACCTCTTCCCTCTCCCTGCTTAATGTTCAGGACATGTATGCTGACATCATTGAACACAGCAGTTCATGGATACAAGGCATGCGGATCTGTGTCATTCCTTCCTCACCTTTCCCCTTTGACCCACCCTTAGCTCAGTGTTCTCAATTCTGTGGCATAGGCACTGTATTCTTGCCTGCATTCTCCACGTTGTCTCCTTCATTCTTCTACCATTTGCCCCTCATCTGCCCACTCCCAGTACCCTCTTTCTGGTGCTTACTTTGTTGGTTTTTGACTTAGTCTTTGTGAAGAGCTATACTCCTTGATCTCTCCATAGAGTCTAGCTGTGAGCTGGTGGCTCACACCTGTAATCCTAGCTACTCAGGAGGCTGAGATCTGAGGATTGCGGTTCAAAGCCAGCCTGGGCAAGAGAGACTGTGAGACTCCTATCTCCAAAAAACCACCAGAAAACCAGAAATGGCGCTGTAGCTCAAGTGGTAGAGCACTCACCTTGAGCTGAAGAGCTGAAGGACAGCGCCCAGGCCCAGAGTTCAAGCCCCATGACCAACCAAAAAAAAAAAATCCATAGAGTCTATTGTATGTGTCTCCCAGTGAGACGTATAACAACAGCAGGAGAGGACCATTAGCATCGTTGTTCTGGGAAGCAGGGATGACCTGAGCTCTCTGCTCTTACTGCACATGGAGCACTGCTCTCATCCACGCACATTGTGAGAAACCTGTCAGCCAGGAAGGTCACCACGCTAGACCCAGGTCCCCACCGCCACATTGTCCCCCTTTCCCACTTGTCTCTGAAGAGCCTTTTCTCCAGGCCTTCACACAAACACAGCCTTGATACTGAGGCCTGGCAGCCTGGCTTTTGAGTGACCCAGGACTGGAAATACCCTCGGCAGATCAATGCCGCACATTAAAAGCCAAGCCTGTTGAAGGTTGCAGTGGAGGTGTTGTGTGGATGGAATGACATTCCTCACTAATTCCTCTCTGGCAACCTGGATCTGAGTGGGAACAGCCTAGAGAGGATGGCATTCCACCACAGAGGCAGCATCTGCAGCAGGCTCTGTGGGAGGTTCTAGATCTCTTCCTGACGGCCAATCGCAGGAGCTCCCACCCACCCTGCACCTCCACAGCCCACGAGCTCCAGGAGGACCTGGCCCCAGCCGGTCCTCAGTCCCATGTGCACAGGCTCAGGACAGTGAGGTGATGCAGGTGAAATCCCAAGTGACGACTGTTTTTACACTCATCCATGTCCCCTTAGCTACAGATTTCCCCTGAGCTTCCCGCCAAGTCCATAGGGAGGAGGACAGGACAGTCCAGGGCACCCAGCCTGGGCACACCAGTGAGTTCTTCCCAGGCATGCAGGAGCCAGGGCCACAGCCTCATTGACCTCCAGGTCCTGGTACTGGGCCTGGGGTCTAGAGACTGAATACAGGCCATGTCTGCAGGGGATTAATGTGAAGGACAGGTGTGGACAACACAGAGACAATTAAGAGCACATATATCCTTATAGGATAAAGCAGTGACCAGATCCAGAACTGTGGCTGAGAATCCCATCCAACCTTGTCATCTACAGCATGTGTAGAAAAGGACGGAGGCAGAGGAGCTGGTGGGGTCACTGCGTCTCTGCAGGTAACCACAGCTCAGCAGTGCCCACGACTGGGCTCAGTGGGTCACAGAGCAGCCCTGGTCCTGACCGATGACCCCTCACATGTCACCAGCAAGAGGAAAGGGGACTACGGGATCAAAGCCGGGCTGGATGCTGGGGTGTGTGAGTAGAACCCTGGGCCTTGAAATCCATCAGTGACATGGAGGCTTGACTCTGCAGAACATCCCGTGCACTCCCACCTGAGGATAAAGACTGACCTAGCCAGGGAGTCCACTGCGTCTCTCCCGAGTCTGAGAGGAAAGGACTGAGCAGGGATCTTGACCTTCCTCAGATTTGACCCCAGTGATCTCAGCTGTGTCCACCGACTGTGCATGGTGCTGTGTCTGGTCCTCTCAAGGATGCAGCATCATCCACAACAGAACCACGACAATGGAAGATGGAAAAAGCTGTGTTCTGAGGGGTTGGAGAACAGTAAGAACACAGTGGACAGCTCTGTGGGGGACGCTGCGTCCTGTGGAGAGGCCAGGCACACAGAGGAGTCAGGGCCTGAGCTCCACAGCTGCTCCTGTGACTGCCATGACCTCAGTGTGTGCCGAGCGCCCCCTGCTGGTCCTGACGGAGCATGAGCTCAGTGTGTGCTGATCGCCCCCTGCTGGTGCTGACTGAGCATGACCTCAGTGTGTGCCCAGCGCCCCCTGCTGGTGCTGACTGAGCATGACCTCAGTGTGTGCCCAGCGCCCCCTGCTGGTGCTGAGCGCCCTGCAGGGAGGTTTGTGTCTGGCCCACACTGGATTTCCTACACTATGTCTCTAGCACAGTAATAGACGGCCGTGTCCTCCACTCTCAGGCTGTTCATCTGCAGGTAAAGTGTGTTCTTGCTGTTGTCTTTGGAGATGGTGAAGCGGCCCTTCACAGAGTCTGTGTACTGTATGTTACTACTACATAAATGGATGAAATCCACTCCAGCCCCTTCCCTGGAGCCTGGCGGAGCCAGTTCATCCAATAACCACTGAAGGTAAATCCGGACACTGCACAGGAGAGTCTCAGGGACCCCCCAGGCTGCACCAAGCCTCCCCCCAGACTCCACCAGCTGCACCTCACACTGCACACCTGCAAACACAGAGAATCCAGGTCAGCAATGGTCACACACATCCACTGTTCCTCCCACTCAGTTCCACTGACACACCCAGTGTTCCTTCTTCTCTGCAAATTACCTTGTAAAATGGCCACAAGGAAAACCCAGGTCAGAGCCTCCTCCATGGTGGAGGTGTGTGCCCAGTGCTGATCTCAGGATGGATCCCCTGGAAGTCAGGCCTGACCTGCAGAGCTGCAGCTTTTCATGAGCAGAGGGAGGCCCCATTTGCATGTCCTCTTGGTATATAGGCAGCTCTGGGGTGGAATCTGAGCAAAGGCAGTGCAGAGAAGACAGGAGAATCAGGCAGTCAGCAGTGACAATTATCACATGGAAGAGAACACAGACCTCATCCCACAGCAGAGTGAATGCGTTAGGAGACCTCATCTTACTGCATTTTACACAGCACAGACAGTCATCGCTCACATTAGGTGTCATGATGTGTGCATGTGTCACATTGTTGGTGGTATGAATTTGTAATTGAAGAATCTCTTGATTGCTAGAGAGGTGCACTGCCCTTGAGCTGTGTGTCCAGCCGTCTTTGCTGTATTTTTCTTTAGTGATTTGGGATATGGCCATGCATTTTTCCTGGTGGTATGGGCGGTGTTCTCCTATCTGTGCTTTCTGTGCAGCTGAATGGATTGCTGTGCATGACCGTGTTCATCTCTGGGCTGACACTGTGTCTCTTGGACTGGCTCCTGTCATTCCTTCCAGTCTCCCTACCGAGGAGGGGCAACCAACCCATCTGACCATTTTGTCACTTTTAAACTATGGAAATGCAATTATTTTATTTGCTGCAAACTTGTTCAGCTTTACCACACAGAGGACTTGATATAACATTTCATAAGCACCACAGCACAGGGAAATCTGCTTCACCAGCAGCAGAGTCAGGAAATGGTTCATTCTTCTGGAAGCAAGTCCTTGGCTTCCGCTCTACCCCTCCTCCCAGCAGCAGTGGTTGTGGGTTAAGGAAGGCTGTGTGCTTCCTACTGCAAATATGCTAAGGGGATCATTTTAGGGCGGTTGTTTTATGTTCACTTTTCATCTACTTTTTTGGAGGGGTCTGGTTGTGTGGCCTGAACTCTGGGCCTGGGTGCTGTCCCTCAGCTCTTCAGCTCAAGGCTAGCACTCTACCACTTGAGCCACAGCACCACTTCCAGCTTTTTTTTTTTTTGCTTATGTGGTACTGAGGAATCGAACCCAGGGCCTCATGAATTCAAGGCAAGCGCTCTACCACTGAGCCACCTTCCCAGCCCCTTTTCATCTACTTTTATATTTGGCATTTGGGTTTGAAATCTCAGCCTGTGTTTGCTCAGCACGCTCTCTGCCATGTCTTCAGCTCCTTTGACTCTACGCTGTTTCTCACGTAGGATGAAATGACTTTGTCCAGGGCTGGCCTCATGCTGTTATCTTCCTAGGATGCCTATTATATTTGAGTTTACAGGTGTGGGCCCCATGCCTGGATTATTGTGAGATACGGTCTCATCAACTTCTTGTGCAGGCTGGCCTCAATCCATAGTTTGCTGGATGTTTTCCCCTGCATAGCCACCAAGTTCAGCTCAGTGGTGTCTTAGTCCATCCTTGGTGGTATAAACATATCCCCGATGGGGAAACCTACACAGGGTGAGGATTTGTTTCTCATAGTCTGGGGGCCAAGGTGTTCAAGATCAAGCACTTTTCTGTCTGCTTTGAGCTGGTTTTCTGGTTCCTAGGTTGGGATACATGCTGTGTCCTCATGTGGCACAATATACACCTGCATCCTTCCCTTGCAGGATGGAAAGGAAAGATCAGCTCCCTTCCTCAAGAGGACAGGAGGACACTCACCATCCATGAGTCAGGCTGCTTCCCTGCAAGGGTTAAATTCCAGGTCATGAATGTTGGGGAGCCAAGGCACGCACCCCATAGCTTCCCACCTTGGCCTGGACTCCTTTCCCATTGTACCTTCCAAATGATTTATCCATCTCACCCGCAGCAAAGCGCTAGTGCCCCCAGGGCTAATTTTACATTCAGATTCCAAGGTTTTGCTATCGTCTGAATCACACAGTGTTGAGTCAGAAGTTACGTGTGTTGTAAATACAACATGAGCCTGGAAAAGGGCAGATATTCCCAGAGGGATGATGGGAAAGAAAGGGTAACCATTGTTACCAACGAAATCCAACATCAACTGAGAGACATAAAGCCTGAAAGACTGAATGATTTTCCATGACTTGAGTTCCTGCTGGGCTCACACAGTGTGGACGTGCACATAGGAGGTCTCACACATATATACTGTACTGTGTACAGATGTGCATACACAGTGGACGTGCACACACAAGATTTTTCTCTTTTTTGCACACACACACACACACTCTCTCTCTCTCACACACACACACACACACACACGGTACTGGGCACACCTGGAGCCCCGTGCATGGGGTCTGTGTGTCTGCAGCTCACTCAGGCTGGATTTTCACTGAGCTTTGTCTCCTGCAGTACTGAGCACAGGTCACCCCACAGGTCAGTTAGGCATTGCCTCTCTGGGGTGCTGAGCCCATAGTTCTGAGGACGCTGTCCAGTGGTCTTCCTGCGCTGTCCCCATTTCTCTCACTGTCTCTGCCTGTCCCCAGCCATCCATGAATCAGACGGTCTCCACACATCCATCTTGGATTCTGTGCCCTGCAGAGAGACCGTGTGACACCCGAGGCCTGAGCCCCGTACAGGGTCAGCACTGAGCCCCACGCTGCCAGGACACAGGAGTCACCCCTGGGAAGACTGAGGTGGCCACATGGGCAGGCAGGGCAGTGTGGAGGGGTCTGTCCAGGGCGTCCTGAGCTGCGCCGTGCCTGCACCATTCATGCCCCACTCTGCCCTCATCCTGAGCCCTGTGTCTGTGACAGAGTGGCTGCTCCAAGGCTCCGTTCAGGTCTCAGCTCAGGGAGCTGCACTTGGCTTCCTCTTTCCATCACAGTCTCTTATCAGAGCTCCTGGACCACTCCAGTGTTCATGCCGAAGCTCATCTCTCTGCTCTGTCGGGTTTTCTGTTCTTTTTTTCCAGCTAGTAGTGGGCCTTGAACCTGGGCCCGTACTCTTTCCCTGAGCTCCGTTTGCTCAAGGCTAGCACTCTTCCACCAGAGCTAGCAACACGCCTGGCTTTGTCTGTGATTAATGGGAGATCAATGTCTCACAGAATTTCTGGCATAGGGTGATTTTGAACTGTGATCCTCAGATCTGATCATCCTGAAAGCTAGGATGACAGGTGTGAGCCACCAGTGTTGGGCCACTTTTTCTTTTCAAATTAGATTCATTGTACCAAATTATGGGTTTCCTTATGACATTTTCACACGAGTGTGTAATGCACTTTGATTGCACACTCTCCTGCCCCTGATCAATCTTGCTGGCTTCTGCATGTTATTGCCATTCCAATTTTATATTCATGCGTTTGATCTTGTCCAGATCTTTATTCCACCTAAGAGACAAAAATATAGTATTACTCCTTTGGTGTCTGGCTTATTTTCATCAACAAAGTGTTCTCTATTTTTTCAATTTTCCTTCCAGTGATGTAAGTTCATTCCTCTTTATAGCTGAGTAATTCCATTCTGTATACATAACACACTTTCTAGGTTCATCCATTGAGGAATCCATGAAGGGACCCAGTCTGATCCCCAAACCTTTCCTATTGTGGACAGTTCTAGACAAACACAACTGTGCAGTCACTATATCATAGACTGCCCGAGACCCCTTGGGTGTGTGCAGGAGTGAGGAGAAGGATCATGGTGGCTTGGCTTTTAGTCTGTGGAGGGTTTTCCATTCTGAGTCCCATAGTGCACTCGCTCACATTCTGAGGGCACCACGGAAGGTTTCTTTTCCTGCATCTTTGTCAGTTCCCGTAACTTTTCTTGATGATCGTCAGGGTACAGTTGGAATGCAGTGCAGTCATGATGTGCATTTCGTTTATGACTGAGAATATTGAATATCTTTTATGTGTTATTGGCCATAGGAGATTCTTATTTTGAGCTCTGACCTATTCCTCTATATATTTATTAATGGAATTGTGTGTACTGGTGTTTAATTATTTGAGGGATTCATGTATCCTGGAAATTCATCCTCTGTCAGATGCATGTATGGCCAAGATTTTGTCCCCTTCTGCATATTGCTGTGTTTACTGTACAAATTGAATGTTATTCTCTCCTCATGGCAAAATGTGAATTAAGTCTTGTCCACTTCCAGCACTACTCCTTTTCCTCCAGGTCTTTGGTACTTCCATGTGACATTTAAAATCACTTTCATTTTCCATTTCTGGGAAGAAGGCCATGGGACTTTTGATGTAGGTTGATCAGTTCGTTAGACCTCTTTTGGTAATATGGCCATTTTCACAGTATCTGTTTTCTCGATCCTTGTAATTTAATGTCCTTCCACTGCCTTGATTTTTATGAGTGTCCCCTTCAATTCCTTACATCAGTGTTTTAGAGTTGTCGTTGTAGAGGGCCTTCTGTCCTTGGGTATATTTATGCTGGGCATTTTATTTTTTTATTGTTTTTGTTGTGAAAAGACTGTACAGAGGGGTTAGAATTACATGGGCAAGATAATGAGTACATTTCTTATCAAGCATTGTAGGCTCTTCCTTTGTTTCCCCTTCCCATCCCTTCCCATCCTCTCCCCGCACCTCCATCCAATCCTCCTCTCCCCACACCAAAGTTGTAAAGTTCGTTTTCGAAATAATGACTTGCACATCTCATTGTTGCAATAGGTCCACC